CACACATGTGTAACTCTTGTGTTACTTGTGTGATGAGCTTGTGAAAGGTTATCTTACTTTGTGTAATCTCTTGTATAGATCTACATGTCTGCACATATGTAATTACACTTGTAACTATATGTAATTTCATATGTAATTGACTCTTGAAACTGAGCCATGAGTTGTAATTGTTATTTTTATTCTTTTATTATGATATTTCAGCCCTTTGGTACTAGATATAGGGCTCAGGGCTGACACGACAATAGCTTTGAGTTCAACATCTGTTCAAGGTCCCTTCCTGAACCTGAGGTGGTTTTTTTCATGAAATTGCTTTTGTACTTATTTTTTGCATGTAACTTGCATCTTCAGAAAAAAGGAATGAGTGATCTGATTATGTATGTACACGTCCCCACGCCTAGGATTTGTAATCATTGGGTTTGCAACAGGCCCCGGCCCCGCCGCTGCAGAACTTGAATGATTATGTAAACCACTTGGAGGGGACTGTACAACCATCACAACATAGGTTGCTTATCAAATTGAGTTTTCTTGCTTTTCCACTCCATCTTCTTATTGGTGCCTTGTTCAGTCCTCGTTGTATGTATACTTTCTCTTATGTTTTTGGAAAATATTATGTTTTAAAACTGTAAGTATTACATTTCTCTTATGTTCTCTTGTACAATGTAAAAGGTTGAAATTACAATTTACTTTCTTATCCAAACAATCATGTTTTTAGGTCTTCACCTTATTTAGGTTTGACCTGGTGTGTGTCTGTCTGAGAAGCAGAGATGTGGTACCAGTCTTTTATTGAGACTCCCTGAGACAATCCCCGGCGCTGACCAATTTCTTCTTGAATGGGGCCTGAGTTATGCCTGTTTTCAAGAGGCATGTTTTTGTATTCTCTGACCTTCTAAGGCTGCACAAAGGTATTTTTCATGATTGATGGATCATAATCAAATAGGAATGAAATGAAGAAAGCTGACAAAAAGTTGAGAGAAAAGAACCTACTTCAATTTGTTCAAAACTGCAAATTACAAGGTTGGGCAAGAAAGAATGATAATCAATTGCATGGTCAAGCTCTGTGAAAAGTAGAGCTACAATAGGATTTGTCCCAGAACACTTTTTCTTCTGTTCTCCCTCCAAGTCTCTTTGTGATTTGATTTGCAGCTGGGTGTGTTTAATTTTTGCTTGGGTGAGATTGTAGAGGAATGACATGGGTTGACTAACTTCACATTCTCTTTTTTCTTTGTTCTCTTTGTCAAAGAAGCCGTGGTCAATGTCCTTTGAGCTGTAAAAAGAGACACCTTGGGCTTTGCCATTGGGCATTGACTGGAAATTCACTATTTTTTGAGCCTGATGCAAGCCAATCAACAGAGGAAAAATGAGAGGTAAGTCTACCCATCAGATCCAAGATAAGTCCTTATTCTCCTAACCTCTTCTAATATAAAATAATTCCAGATTGCTGTTCCACTGGCCAAAGATTGTGCAAGTCTTTTGATTGTCCTCATAAGCCGAGTAGTTGAAGGCCAGCCTGTTTTTGTTGCCCAAAGGCGCTGGCAAGTGGTCAAGTTCAAGTCTTGACATTCAAGGAATGTTTGAATGAACTTCTTTGGATCAAATGAAGGTATTTTATGAATGAATTTGCATACTTGAATGACCTGACTTTGGGTTATAGGACAATGTGACTCAGTAGGTGCTGAAGCCATTACTTGCAATGTTTTGAGGTGATTGGAAAGGCATTGGTCAGCTAGACAAGAGGTCAGCAAGGTTATTTACTTGGTCAATTTGGCACAAGGAAAATTCTATTGTACCACAAGTTCACAACCCATGATTCTGCTACAGTCAGGAGTAAAATCTGCCATGCAATGATTTTACTCATTTTGCAGCAGGGGTTGAATTTTGCGGTTTTTGAAATTCAAAAATCATCTTTCTGGAGGGCAATGGAAACTTGAGCATGGCTCAAGATATGGAGGATCTGAATTGAGGGTCCTGCTTGGAAGAAGCAGGACTTTGATTGTCCAAGAGAAAAATTGGAAAGCTTTTGTGTGGCAAGCATCTTTCATTGGGTTCATTTTTCCGCTACTAAATCTCATGACCACTGACACCAGGAGAGCCACATTTGGTGTAAGTCCATATGCAGGCTTTGGGTTTTACCGCCTGCAAGGGACTTTGTTAAGTTTGGACAAAACCACAGTTTGATACACATACATAGATACTAACATTTCCGCAGTGGGCACCACCCTTTGTGACCTCAATCTGACAAAATTCGTTTGCAACAGAGAAGTCACAAGATTGAGTGATTTCCATGAAACTCAAAATAGAGCAGCCACTTGAGGTAGAAGATCCTGGTACAAAAAGTGACATGGTACCGGAACTGTGGTATGTACAATGAGGTTGTTCCCACAAAGGGAGGATGAGCAAGACAATAACAAATTTAACCACTCATCAACTCAACAAATCACTTGCAGCAAATAAACAAATCTAATCAAATTTCTCTCACATTTCTCTCTATCATTTTTTTTGCTCCCACCTACCCCTACACCCTACCGTGAAGAGAGCCTACCTTGGCCAATGGACCAGTGGCCACCAGCCCCCCCAACACAAGTCATTAGACCTAATAGATAAATCAAATTGCATGATTGATGGTCTCAAGACTAAGGTAGCAATGGCTGAAGCAGTGGTCAAAATCAATAGAGATTAGGTAGAGTATTGAGGAACAAAGGATTTTACGGTGATAGAGACGACTTCAACTGGGAGCTATCCAGTCCAATGTTTGACATTGCGTTGAGATAAATTTCACATTGCAAAGATCCTTTGTGTTGTGAGATGGTGATGAATTATGTGTGAAGAAATCACAAGGAGTAAATTGGTTGGACACAAGGTGAAGTAGGCAATGTGTGCTTAGATTCATGGGGCACACAATTCCCTCAGCAAGACTTATATACACCCCCCTACTTATAAGTTGAAGTCCACTGGTTTTTTGGCTGTACTGTTGAGCTGGCCAGTACAGCCAAAAAACGAGTGGACTTTTGTTCATTGGGAACACCAACAAAGGCACGACTTGGTGTGTAGGTCCATGACGAGGAGTTGCGCACAGATGAGGATGTATGCTTATAGCAAGGAGTGCTTAGCGAGGAGCGAAGTTGGAAATTGAAAATTTCTAACCGCATACCTCACATACAGTCAGATCCTCAACTGAGCACAACTCAGACTTGTATAGCTTCTCGAAGTTAAAATTGTCATTTAAGATACCTCCCGCCCACCCGGCAAGGCGCTGAGCATCCGGTTTCGAGACTGAGGAGGATTTTCTCAGTCACGCAAAACCGGAGGCCCAGCGGCGGCGCCCCCCCCCGCAAAACTTAAACTGTTCATCCTAAGGATGGGAGTTTAAGAGGGCAGGAGGTAGTTTAACATGATAAACAGATAATGTTAATCTACAAATAAACACAACCACATCTAACTACAAGCTCCGTACTGAATGGAGTTTGATGATGGTATTGTTCTCAATGTTTTCACTGGTCTATAATGAATGGAAATCTGATGGATTGGTTGGGTTCCATTATGAAAACTTTTGGACAACCACAAAATTGGTTGCGTTCCCAGAGCCGGCGGAGGTACACTGAATTCTATTCTCAAGTGGAGAGGGAGTGTCAAGGACAGACGGGATGTCACATGGTAAATAGATGACATCTGGTTACCATGGGATTTGGAAGTTGGAGGGAAGAAAGATTTCTTCTCTCTAACCCCCTTCCAAATCTCTCCCGTACTGTCTAAATGACGCTGCTGCAAGTTGAAATCTTCAAACAAAATTTTCTCTTAAACTTTTCTCAAAAGACCCACCCACCACCCAGTCTCAGGCCTGTTCTCGCCCCAAAGGTGGGAAGCCTAGGGAGGGGGTTCTTAACCCCATCCTAGCCCTTTTCCACCTTTGAGACTACTCTCACACCAAGCCTAACTGTTTTACTGGTCTCTAGGGAATGAGACGGGATTCCACAGGAGTAGAACCTGCCTGAGGGGGTTACCTTCTTAGAGGGACAAGTCTAAGACACAAAATCTGGGATAACAAACCCAGACTTCTACCCCGCAGTCTTGAACATGCTCCCCACGAAGAACAATGGAATGGGTTTCTCGCGATTGGGAAGAAAATGTCCTTTTAAGTAAAAAGAATATTTTCTCATTGGGAGTAAGAAAATTGATATCTTGGGAATTGGAAATTTTTACAAGCAAAGAGATGAAATAGATTGATAAAGCTTGTTTCTTTATCGGATACAAGTGAAAATTGAAATATAATGACAAAGACAAAAAATTATCACTTCACATAGATGAACGGTACCTGCCCTGATAGTAAATAAACAACGGGGCGTGAAAATTTTCCGAACATCTTTTCGCGAACAATAACGTCCGGAAAATGTGATGTCCGGAAAATTTCACTTTCTTCTGGGCAAAGTGAAATTTTCCGAACATTCCAGTTTTTCAGACGTCCGCAAAAATATGTTACGCAAATTAATGTACGTAAAATTGGATCTTGAGGGTCAACAAACGGCAAATTCCCAGACGTCATGAAACAACACTTATAGTTCGTGAAAATTAAAGCATGCAAAAATGCATAAACAGTGCCCAAGTGATACTTTCACGAGCATTTGTTAACAAACGTTACATTCCGTGAAAAATGACCTTTGGAAAAGCGAATTTCAGGGGCTATTTTGTCGAATTTTACAGACATTATCTCACGAACAATATTTGCCAGTTTTGAGCTCTTGCTCATTGAAATGAAGATCAAGAGAAATAATTGACCATTGAAAACTTAAAAAAGGAATGTTGAGAAATGACAAGCCAAAGAAAGCGATAAGACAGATATAAAAGAATGTAGCAAACATTGTCGAGAAATGACACTGAGAACACCAAGAAATGACTAAAAATGAATGTAGCGAAAAGGGAAAAAAGGGAAACAACGGTATCTGCAAGCAAGAATAAGTGAAAGAATTAACCCAAAACAAGAAAAAACGCAAGAAGAAAGAGGTAGGCTACATCTTCTCCTTCTTACGCTTGGACTTCCGCACCTTGCCACTCGCCTTCGACTCTTGGCTGCCCTCTTTGACAGGCTCATTCAAATCTTTTGGCTGGACCTCTTTCACATCAACAAGGGTCCAACCTTTCCAACCTTTTCGTCGTTTATTGTTTCCTTCTGATGACAAACCATCAGCGTTACCAACCTTACACTTCTTCTCCTGTTCCTCGTCTACATTCTCAACCGACAAATAAATACGTTTATTCTTCTTAACCTTCTTGGCTATAGTGGAGGTGATTGATACAAAAGATATGTGAATTAATACGTCAGAAGGGAAAAAAAATGTAACAAAACGAACCTGCGTGTTCTTCATCTACGTTTCCATCTGAACAATCCTTACGTTTACTTTCTTTGGGATTTTCGTTGCCTGAGGAGCTATCCAAGCCGCGCTCTTCGGCGGTCAGATTGTCTTTAGCCTTCCGTTTGCCAATCTTGCGCGCCGGTTTCTTCCCCTTGACTTTAGCCTTGACAGCTCCTATTTCAAACAAAACAAGGATTAGTTCATGAAGACAAAAGGAAACAAAAAAAGCCTACCGCTTTGGGGTTGTTCATATTGTACCTCTACATCTGACAAAAACAAATCTTGCAATTCCACTGCCTTCATAAGTTTCTCGCTCACCACACCGACAGCGTCCTGCTCCTGCTCAGCTTCCAATCTTTCAGGAGGTCTTTGTTGAAATTGAGGTGCGGTAGACTCCAATCCTTGCTGTGAAAAAGGCAGGTCGCCTCCGTGGTTGTCCCCAAATTCTTTTTGGATCTTGACATTTGCGGTTTCTATTATCAAGGCCTCTGCAGTTGTAGGAGCTCGAGAGTACATCACCCAGTGTGTATCAGCCACTGCCCCTCCTATAGATGCCAATTCTCGACTCTCCAACGTCGCAATGCCTGCATTGATGAGGTTGTTGTGATACCATACACCTGAAAGACCACCAACTGTACGCACTACCTTGCACCAGTAGTGCCCTTTTGCATAGAATCCACGAGCCCGCATCCAGTAGGTGACACCGTGCAGTGTTAGTTCGTAAGGTAAATAGCATTCGTCATTCATTTTCTTGGCTTCTTCAGGCCGAGATCCAGTTAAGGTAAGAGAATCAATGAGCAAATATAGATGAGGGGGTGCTGGTTCGAATTGAATCCGTGTCCTTTCAAACAAGGGTGGCGCGGACTGTTGTGGTTGAGTCGAGTTGGCGTCTTTATTGTTGGGGCAGACCAAATAGTGACGAGCAGAGATGCGGCGAAGGCCCTCTTCGGATGTCAAACGTTGTAGAAGATCCGGCGTATCTGAGTATTCGAAGGACTGAGTAGAACGTGCGCCAACACCATAATGTTCAGGCATCAGTGTGATGCAATCCAATGGGATATTCTCATGCGTGATATGCGCAAAATTGTTCGAGCAGACGAGCTTGCGTTGACGTGTGATTCGAAATAGCTTCTGAGTGATTGGGGGCGCTCGAGGTTGAGTCTTGAGACCTTGAACGTCAAATAAGCCTTCAAAATATTGGGTGGCAGAAGCGTACTCGTCATATTTGAATGAACCAGGGTAAACCTTCTGAATGGCTGCGTGAATCTTGTTTTGACCCAAGGAGAGAATTTGTTGAATGCTGCCGGACTGATGTACTTCCCAGGTAGCGCGTGAAGAAAATACATTCATCAACTTGTTGAATATATGAATTGAAACACCCTTGGACCCGGTGAACCAATAAGGTGTGTATAACGCGTACAAGCACTCGGACATCGAATTCATCCAGCACCGGTTCTGCCGAGTTGGAAGCAATGAGCTTTGAAAACCTTGAAATGTCGTTACTGGGTTGCGGTCCACGTTGACAGATCCTTTAGGCCGGCCACCTTTCTTAGTCTTGCTGCCAAGAAACGCTTCGGTGGTGTCAGGTGGGCGTCCATCATTCTTGGTCTCCCGACGGTTTCGAGCTTTCTTGGCCCATCCAAGAATTTGGGCCACTTTCTCATAGTTATTAGTGGAACCATATGTAATCGAAACTCCTCGGCGGAGGTCATGGTAGTCTCTCTCAAGGCTCATGACCAAAGCATAGAGTTGGACGAGTCCCACTTGGATGGTACAATTCCCCTCACTGCGAAAGAAAGGATCAGTCAATAAAAGAACGAGTCCAAGATAGATATGGTGCAAGAGCAAGAGGTACTGACGAAATCATGTAATAAACCCTGTGCATTGATTCTTGGGCGTTAGTAGTCGCCGGCATGTCATCGTCAAGGTTGTCGTCGTCGATTTGCTTGCTTCTGGATTTGAACAGCATGGCTTGCACGTCGGCTGCCTGCCACCAATCAATCCACCGTTTGGCTTTGGGAAACTTTCGACGTAATTGATCGACCTTGATATCAAATGAATCTTCTCCAGGAGTGTTCGGGTCACAGAGACTCATGGCTAGAGTCTCGAATTCTTTCTGTTAATCATGTGAAACCAAGAAGATTAGAATACAAACGTGAAACAGTTTAAAAACAAACGTAAAAAAAACGCACCTCATATCCTCTCGTGATGATGGCATTATTTCTCTTCACACGTGTTACCTGAGCACGAAAATGTTCCTTGCACCCGGTTAACTTGGAAAGTGCGACATTCCTATCCGTCTCTTTGAAAACTTCCATGTAAGCCGCGATGAAACCGTTTTTCTGTGCCATAGAAAAGTCGACGACTTGTCAAACCAGCGTGTCACATTCGGAAGGTGAAATTTGAGCATCTTTGATTTGTTGCATAAGTGTCGTGAAATGCTCCTTGTAATGGTCATCCGTGAGTCCATTCATCCATGTAAGTTGGATTGGAATCCACCGATGGAGCACGTCACAGTACATTGACGTGGTCAGAAGATACCCGTTCGCGAAGAACTTGTACGTGACATCTGAAAGCAACCCGCCTTGGTAGACACCACCGTTCACTCGAGCTAGGAGCTTTTCAGCCATCCATTCCGTTTGAAACGTCATGTGGGTTTTTTTCGGCATAAAAGAAGTTGATATGACACGGAGACCTCGCCTGAATCACATAATAAATGACAGTCAGTACAACAGTCAATATAATTTCACAAGACGATGACGGAAGAGAATCATCCGCGTACTCCACCCATTCAATAATGTCCAACACAAAGCTGTCACCTGCACCTGGAATCTTCTTTGCAGGTATTATTCCAGCCTCGACAAGGATTACGCGCCGATAATAGCCCAATCGATGCAGATTGTTCAAAGCCGGATGAATGTCGGTTGATGTTGTGATGGCGGCCTTCCCAGCAGGAGCTCGGCCGACCTTAACCCAGACAATGTACGTTACACATTGATGTTATGATATACAGGAAATACATGAAGCTTACTTTGTGTTGTAAAGGTCCTAAATCGGGATTTTCAACAACCTTTTTCGCAAATGTCGCTAACGCTAGCTTGTCAGGCTTTGTCCGTCGTGGCCATGGATGGTTGTGGATGCCAGAATGTCGGACAATGCCCCAATCAGATGGGATGTGCTCATCCACTCGACAAATTGTTCCATTACATGGAACAAGTCGTAGATAGTCTGGGCACAGAGCCGCCGGGCATTTGTGAGGTCTGATAGCAAAGCCAAAAAAGCGAAAAACAATGTCAATTGTGTATTTGCACGTGTCACTGCAGCAGATTTGAAGGTACTTACTTTGTTTCCCACTCTGTTCTCTTGGCAGTCGAAGTGGGAGGCGTTCCGAGAAAGTCACACTCGCGGTTGTTGCACATCGTGACACCTAGGCATGTGAACCGGACAGTTCGCCAATCAGAACCTTCCTTTATACCACCGCCGGAAGTGGTACTTGAGAAACCAAAAGTACACCAGTTGGTGAATGTTTTCGTTGGCTGCTTGACAAAGACGGTGGACCCGTTTGGTAGAAGAGGATAACCTTCGGAATCGAGAGTTGTTCTGTGATCAATGTAGGTTGTGAATCCCGCGCGATCAAAGGGTAGGCCAAAAGTCTTTTTGCCTCTTTTGCCAGATTTCTTATCTTGACTACTCGGATTAGTGCTTGTCTGAGATTTCTTATGTTGACTACTCGGATTCGTGCTTGTCTGAGATTTCTTATGTTGACTGCTGGGATTCGTGCTTGTCTGAGAGGCTGCTTGTGGTTCATCTTCATGTAAATCTGATGATTGCAATTCTTTATGTATTTGAATGTCCTGTTCTCTGGCGATAGAAGACCATTCAGAGTCATAGCCGTCTTCGAAGTCGTTTTCGGAGTCATCTTCCTCAAGGTCCGTGTAGTAATCGCTTGGCCATTCGGCTTCGGACATGTCGCCGTTGTTTCAAATAGATCGTATTAGATAGAGAATTGAATTAAAAAAATGAGAATGGAGAATTTCAAGATACCAGAATGAGATATTATTGTTAGAGATTGTGAAAAGAGAGTTTGAAAATGATAATAAAATGATAATACGAAGAGAAAATGATAATAATAATCAAATGATAATAAGATCGCCGTTGAGTTGACTAGTGCTCAAGACTTCAAAAAGGTGGTTAACGCCAATACCAATGCAAATCCATGGATGAGCGTTAACCACCATCACCTCAGGACGTTCAAAACCACCTTCGGTGGCATGCAAACCGTCAGGCCACCTTTTAGTCAGGCCACCTTTAGTGGCCGACGGGTGTGATTTGAAGGCATGTGAGGTGATTCTTTGATTGGAAAATTAATCCATCTGATGAACCGTTTCGAACTTTGCAGTCGTCGGTTTGCGACCTCGTGGTTGGTCTGTGAGGTGACGGATGTAAAATTAGGGAAAAAGCTGGTTTGTGATACAATTGCGCACATTTTTTTTGGCGAACTTGGATGTTCGGATGGGTAAACATGGAAAATTAAATACTGTATGCACTTGTAATGTATTTTTCAGGACATTAATTTACGACCGTTTTTTTACAGATAATCTCAAAACGGACTTTGACTGTAAAATTTCACTTTTCTCGGGCCAAATTACATTTTTCCGAACATCAATTTTTGCGAACAAAAACGTCAGTAAAACATCGTTCGCAAAAATACACGATCCCATAAACAACTGTGAGATCAAACAATTGGATAAATAAAACCTTTCGTATCAAGCTTGAACTTCGGGTTTCTGAGCTGGAATAGGAATCTCCGAGTTTGTGTTGGGACCCATATGATCTAAACCAAACTTGACAGCCTCTGCACCTTTCCTGACATTGACTTTGGTAAAATTGACAAAGTCAATTTCTTGTAAAGCTGGAGTTAATGCTCGATTCACTTCAGATGCATTTGGTAATCGACCACCGGCAGCTCTTTGTTCACAGAACATGTGAATAGTTTCTAATAAGGCAGTTGCAATTTGTTGGGAAGATCTTGGAAAAGTTAGCTTGTTCAAGGCGGATTTAGGAGCCTTTGACGCGCTGAGTAAGATTAAAAGAATTATTAGAAAAATGATCAACGAGATTCTGGAAGACGAAATGATGACTTACCGATTCTCGCCGGTTTCACCTTCAGCAAGTTTACGATCAGCAAGAGCGTCAATAGAGTTCTTGATAGCTTGGGCCATTTTGAAAAAGTATCTGTCATCTGCAGTTTCAAGTGCTTCATCGACTGCTTTTGTCATTTCTTCTTGAGTTGGAAATTCGACTCCTGCCTCCATGTCAGCTGAAAACTTGGCAATTGAGCTGACAAGACCAGCTGAGACTCGTTGCATCATAGCAGGAGAGAGTCCTAATTGAGGAACACCCGATGGACGAGCAGGACTACAAGGGATCAATTAGTTTTTCGTCCAAGTCACGGCATGAGGAGATTTGGAGAAGGCTCACCCTGATTGACCCTGAGTAGAATCGTCATTGGCACCGCCAGCATTCAAAGATCGACGAACAAGTGTTCTATGAACGTAAAAGCACCCATTAACAAAGACCACTTTGGAGTTCAAAAAGAGGATGCAAGCTTACCTGACAAATCTGGAAGCTTCGGCGCCGGGAGATGCAGAGACAGAGTTTGTGACACTGGAATCGAGGACAAACAAAAGGGCGACAGAGGTGGCAACAAAACCGTAATTGATACGCATATTGATATGTATGAGTTTAAAGAGGTATTATTTGGCGAAGGTGACGAAGGCTCAACTAAAGATACGAGTAAATGATAATTGATTGATATAAAAACAAACTAAAAACAAAGATAATGAGATTTGTACAATTTATTTGCAGGGGTAAGAAGATTGAAGGGCGACTGATATGAACTGGTGATATGAACGGATGAGGAATCAGAGAATGGTGAAGAAAACCTTTAGTTTTATAGCCCGAGACTTCAGCCTCGACCAAAACATGACATTACTAGCTGAAAGGTTTGACCACGCCCATCGTGGTGATCATCACTTTGCCTCTCCAGTCACTCATGTATTGATTACACTATTTCTTCAATGTCTTCAATTTCGTTGTCTTTTTTCAGCCCAGGTGAGCAACCCAAAACCTTTCTGTGGACGCAACCACGGCACAAGCGCAGCTTCAGGCGAACATGACGAGCGTGTCAGATTGGCACGAGTTCATGAATTAGCTCGTTGTTTCCCTAAGTTCAACTTTTTCGAGAGCGGACGTGGCCCGGCCGCGTCGGAAGAGGCGCTTAGTTAAGCTTATTGATGCAGCCAGGCAAGAGGGACATTGTTCAACTAATACTCCATTGCCAACAACCATACGAGAACAATCTGGGTATCATCAGCTTCATCTCTGGTGATTCATATTCATTACACGCAACTTCTTCGAGGAAACCCTTTCAATTACAATTCATTGCTCAGGATCAAATCCCCATGTCTTAACCTTTCCAAAGACAGAAAGCAAGTTTATACACAAAATGTGAAAGCAGAAGCACGTTCAAACCGGGGCTCGCCGCACGAAAGGGTGTGACTTGATTATCTAGCAGGATATGAGTTGCACTACATACATGGTCAAATATGCTTGGAATGAGTATGTGACATGACTAATAAAGTCCCTCTAGGAAAATGAGTTCCTCGAGTATTGGTGACTCGTGCGCGCTTACGTCACAGGTGCCCCGAAGCAACTCTTGCTGAGGACCAAGAACAAAAGATGCATGTATGAGGAATCAACAAGGCCACAAATATCAATAATATTAAAGGCAAGTGTTTAAAAAATCTTCAGACTACTTGATTGGCTGTGCCACTCGCAATGCCAATGATACGAGGTCACGATAGCTTGATCAACGACCCTTCTTGAACAGTAAAGTGGGTCTTATCATCAGGGGAAGCTAGAAAAGCTGAAAAAGAACTCAAGGTATCAAGCGTTGAAATGTCCACGCCATAATTTGAAGAGCAGTCACCATCGCGAGTCTTTCTTCGGTGGGCGCCGACGCGGCCGCGTAGGAAGGAGGGACTTTGTAGGATACGTAAGTTGAAGGAATCAATCAGTTTTGTGAAACAGACAACAAATTGAAAGCTTTGTTGTTGTTGAACGGATTTGAAGTTACCGTTGATTTTCCAAAGTCTTCTGAAATTGCTTTTGTACTGCTTGTTCGCATACAACTTGGATCTTCAGAAAAAAGGAATGAGCAATCTGATTATGTAAACCAAAAACAAAACAACACTTGTCACCATATCTTGAACTTGTACACCATCATGCTGAGCTAAAACTTTAACTTTATTTCAAAAACAAACAAACAAACAATCGCTTTCATTCGCTTACAAGCATACAATCTTGACTTCACCATTACAACTTTTTCCATATCTTAAACATTCAAAGACTTTTGTATGATTCAACTTTAATGACGATCGATCGGAAAGAAGTGTAGATAAAAAGAATTATGACTGAATATTCGAGTTCATTAACATCGAGTGAGGAAGATAATGACTCAGAGTCAAGTTCAGAACATCCTTTGAATGAGGTTCAAGAACCTTTGAATGAAGCAGACCAAGAATGGGAAGTAGCATATATTGAAGGCACCGAAATCAAAGGTATGTAACTGTGTACTCATTCGATTTACCAGATTTCAATTCCAACTCGAAAACTAATTAACTCTTCTCGTTCCGATTTTAGATGATAGAAGACGTTATTTGATTAAATATAGAGGTTATTCACCTTCAGAATGGCAAGATGAAACTGCGGTGGAACACTCCGAATTATTAGTAGAAGCTTTTTGGAGAAGCTTAAAAAGGCCGGGAACTCAACGTAGTGATTGGATCGCCGAACAAATTAAAGCGGTAGAAGAAGCACCGGAAGAAGAAGAAGAAGAACCTGAACAACAACCTGAAGCATCCACCTCAAAAGTTCAAGAAGGTAAATCAATCAATCGCGTTATGTTAAAAGAAATCTATTTGATTAAGTTGATTTTTGTTTATTCATAAAGGGCTGATTATTAAAGAAGTACCCATCAAGAAGAAGAAAAAGAAAAAGAAGAAAAAACCAAAAGAGAATCGAGAAGAACCGATCAATTCTGATTTAGCAGATTCTTCATCATCATCTTCTGTATCATCAACTTCATCAATTTCAAGTTCAGAAGAATCAAATCAAGATTCAGAAGAAGTTGAATTCAATTCAAAGTATATTCCAAAGAATTTAGAATTTAGAAGTAAGCATTCATCTTTTTGTCCCCAAAAAATTATGAAAAACTGAAACTTTTTTTTGCCTTCTTTCTTTTTTAGAATTAATGGAAAAATATAGACAAGAAAGAAAACAAATCAAACTAGAAGAAAGGAAATCTAAATTAAATGATGAACAAATTATCCAACATATCTATTTTAAAAATGATTTTAATCATAAAGAATGTTCCAAAAGTTTATCAATTAATCAAGTTAAAGTTCAAGTAGAAAATCATCAACAAATTGAAAGTTCTAATACTGTTCAAATTAATCAAGTAGAAAATCATCAAAGGAAAGATAAAGGGAAAGGGAAAGAAAAAGAAAAAGTTAATGTTAATGGAAACGGAAATGGAAGAAAAAGAAAAAGAGATAAAGGAAAAGGAAAAGAAAATGGAACTACAAAAGGAACTGAAAAAGGAAAAGAAAGAGCAAGAGAAGATGAAGAAACTGAAGAAAATCAAACCATGAAAGAAAATCAAGTAATAGAAGAAGAACAGGAAGAAGAAGAAAGTGAAGATGCATTAGAAGTGACGAATAAAAGATTAAAAAAGATGACGATTCCAGGTAGTAATTCTTTAAAGAAATTATTAAGGATTCCATCCCGGAATTAATTTGAATCTATTTTCAAATATATGGATTGCAAAAGGTGATTTTGTTGTTACTAAGTTTTTTGTTTCAATGTGATATTCCATTTAATTTTGGTACCTCCTTTAATTTTCTCTTGGAATGGAATCACCTTAAGAATTGTGAAAAGAAACACTTTTTTTGATTGTGAAAAAGTCTGTAAAGAAGAAGTTTTTGTTGTGAGAGTATGCAAGGTTCTTGATTGCATAGATACACAGATATGATAGTGAATCAATCAAGTTTATATGTACAACAGAAAGTTTAACAAGATGATTGAAGCGGAAAGGTATTAATTCAAAAGTTGAAAATGACAAGGTTGAATGCTACAACTAAAAAAATAGTATAAAAGAAACTAAATAGGATACAACGATTCCAACTTATTCCAAAAAAGAACCATGTTTATGTATAGTTGAATCTTAACAAATCAAACATTCTTTTCCATTTGATTTGATTCGAATTGATTCAGTTTTCTGTGATGATGCTTTCAAATTTGCATAAATCAATTTCTCATCTTCAGATAATAACCTAAACCAACAAACAAACCAACAAACAATTTCAATTTTCCAATCAAGATCCTCATCTGTTGTTCATACTTAAAAAGGAAACACAAACCCTTTTTGTGCTCTCCATTCGAGTGCTTTCCTTCTAGATTCTTCTTCCGCTTTGATTCGTTTCGAAACCCGGTACCGATCAACAGTTGATAATGATGGATTAGGCTTACTAGAAGGAGTAGAAGAAGTGGTAGAAGAACTAGTCTGGTTTGGTGTCATAGGTTTCGAAGTCACTGGTTTAGGTAAAGGAGGAATCGAAGCCATGACTGATTTAAGAGCTATAAGACTAGCACGATGGTATGGTTTATGAGAAGGTTGAGGGTTTCCAGAACAAGCATGATCAGCTCCAAGTCGATGTGATGGACAATAATTTAGTTGACAATCGGTACAGAGGATTGGGACTATCATTTTAGTTTGACAACGAGATCTTGAACAAATTTTGTTTGAAGAGGATTGTGATGTTGAGGATTGGTTCTGAGATTTTAGGAGTCCTGATTGATCTATTAAACGACATGAGGTGGTGAGATGTTGATCCATTGGAATGTTGGGATCTGTTCCTGTAGGTATCGAAATAGGATCACCACAGAGTGGACAAGTTGGAACTCTAGCCTGATGTTCATAAGAAATTGATTGGAGGATTGTCAATGATTGTGAATTAAGAGGATTGGAAATCCGATGATGATGAATTGACTTACATCTATCAAAGATTCATCGTATTCTGAACATTGATGAGATGTTTCAGAAGGTCGAATAGAAGGTTTAAAATGATCTGAACAGTATAATTTTGTACAATGTTGACATCTATGATATGAAAGATGACGAAATGTTAGGATGATGTTTGAATTAGGGAGATGTTGAGTAGATATTGAACTTAACTTGAATGGTAAGAAATCGAGTGCATGACAAGTTGATAATGAACAATGCGATCCCCATTCTTCGAGTTGATTTGAGTTCATCTTGGTTATGAAGTTAAGCGGTTTTGAAGGTTTTGAAGGATGATGGATGATGGTATTCTTGATATCCAAGTTGATGGGATGGTCTTGGTAGTTGGTGATCAGTCAAATCGAATTTGTCCAGAGACGACTGACGGTGTGGATCTGAATTAAGTCACGCTTAAGCACATGAACTTAACTTAACATATGTCTTTACCACACCTGTAACACTTTTCGTATCACCACACAACTTGTTTGAAATTGAGAGCATCATCTCATTCAACTTCAACTTTTCAAAAATGACGACTAACTCCCAACTAAATTGCTCAAAATGGGAACCATTCCATCGACAAATCTTAGGAATCTCAATCATTTATTCATATCAAGAACAAGAAACAATTTATAGATCAAATCTATCAACTTTATCAGACACAACAACACCATCAAGCAAAGGATCATCACAAGATTTATTAAACTCAAGAATGTCATATTTAAATTTATGGAGAAAAACTGTTTTAGAACAAATCAGGATCGATTTAGATTCATTACCAAACCAAACCACTTCAAAAGATTTAGATGAACTTTCAAATCATTTACCTTCTAAACTTTATATTGAAATCTTACATGATTTGATTTTGATTTCTTTATCTATACCTAATCTTCAATCAAATCAAGAATCAAATCAACCTAAAGATCAGTTTAAATATACGGCTACTTCTCGTGCTTTGGTTTTTAGAGTGACTCATTCACTTAGAATTCCTTTGGATTTGGTTTATCATGCTGAAAGAATAGTAGCACAAGAAGTTAATTTTTTTACAAGCTTTTGATTTTAATATCTTGAAAAGTGAGCATGAAACTAATTTTGATTTTCTTTTTAGTTATTTTCACTTTTTAAAGAAACTCAAAAAGAATCACATGATCAAACCTTATCAGATCAATCAAAAGAAGCTTTATCAAATTCGAATTCCAAATCAAAATGGTTAAGATATATTGGAGCAGGTGCAGGTTTGATTGTAGGAGGTGTGACGATTGGTTTGACAGGTGGATTAGCTGCTCCTTTATTGGCTCCCTTACTTGTTACTCTTTCAGGTGGTGGATTAGGATTCTTAGCTACGGCTGGCGGTTCGGTTTTGATTGGTACTTTATTTGGAATCGCTGGTGGTGGATTGACGGGGTATAGGTAAGTGTCATCTTGTAAGATTTTTGGTTAGACTTTTCTTTTCTAGTTCTAGGTTTCTGATTCTTTGTGATCTTATTACAGAGCTCAACGTAGAATGAAAGGAATTGAAGAGTTTGAATTCGTTCGGATTTCTCCATCAGAATTAGAACCAAATCAAACTGATGAAACTAAAGATCTCACACATGTGCCAAGTTTACACGTAAGCTCTTTGGTTTTCTCTACAAACCTAAAGTTTTTGGATTTGTTTCTCAAAATGAAATCTGATCTGAAATTGTTAAATCGGTTTTTCTGAATAGGCTACGATCGTTTGTTCAGGTTTCTTACTAACTCCAACAGATTATAAAGATACATGGAAACCAGCTTATTCAGAAACGATTGATTCACGTGACATATTTGCCATCAAATTAGAAACCGGAGCATTATTAGAAGCAGGAAAAAGTTTAGACACTTATGTTAGAGATGTGATTGTACAACAAGGGACGAAAGAGATTTTAAAAAGGACGGTTTTAGCTTCATTTATTTCGGCAGTAGCTTTACCAGCTGTGATTTATAAGACTGCAACGGTTGCATTGGATAATGAGTTTTTAAGGGTTAGAGATAAGTGTGAGAAAGGGGCGATTTTGTTGGCTGATATGATTGAAGCTAATGCGCATGGAACTAGACCATTGACTTTGGTAAGTGTTTGTTCCCGACGTGTTGATTTTCCTTTGTGATGGGTACTTACTGACTAAATCGATCCATTTTCAGGTAGGCAGCAGTATGGGTGCGATCACTATCTTTCATGCTTTATTAGAACTTTCAAAACGGAATGTAGTAGATACGATAGATCAAGTGATCTTAATTGGAGCACCCATCTCACCTAGTCCAAAAGAATGGGCATCAGTCAAGAAAATCGTATCAAGAAGAATTGTAAATGTATATAGTCAAAATGATTGGGTTTTAGCTATCTTGGTTAGACTTCATTCATTGATTAGTGTTAGGATGAGTATTAAAGTAGCTGGATTAGGTGATTTGGGGATCGAAGGAGTTGAAGAAGTTGATGTTTCTGATCTCGTTGATGGTCATTTAGATTTAAGTAAGAATATGAAGCAGATCTTAGATAGGGTTGGAATTAATAAATGATTGGACATTCTTTTCTTTTGAAACTTTATTATCATTATTTATTGTCGTCTTTGTTTGATTATCATCTGTTTTATTTATCATTTTGCAAAACAATTGTATCCCTTGTCTTTTACTCTGCTGTATTTTTTTCTTTTTTGAGGGAATGAGAAATCTTTTGATTTTTAGAAAGACAATTTCTCCAGCTCTGTTTGAGGTATCATCAACCCATCCTAAGCGGTTTATCAAATGCAAAAGTGAAAGATATTTGGATGATCTTTTGGAAATGTGGAAATGGTGTAATACGATGGAGTGTATGCTTGTAGAAGAAGTGAATATGCTTATGTCGAGATTAGTTTTCATCAAATCACAACTTGATCAAACTGTTCCGAGTGATTGTCAAATAAGTTTTCTTCAAGACCATCGAATCCAACATGCCTCGTCATCATGCAGCACTAGTTCATAATCAATTATCTTCATTCCTCAAAACAGGTTTACTCCAATCACCACCACCTTCTTATTCTGCTTTACTCAACTATCCACCTACTCCAACTCCATTAAGACAATCAATTAAACGACATGAATTCGATTTACCAAATTCATTAAAATCAACATCAAAATCATTTAAGCACAATCATCAATTCAAAAAATTAATTAAAACTTGTAAACCATTACCTATAATTTATTTTGAACATGATTTAATTAGAAAAGCTTTTTTTAAAGATCATCCATTTGAAGCTTATAGACCTATTAATCTGATTGAAAACTCTGATGATCTTTTAGATAAAACTATTAAAGAACCTGTTAGAAGGATTAAAGAGAATGGAATGATTTCTGATTTAGAAGATGATTTGGTTGGAATTGAAAATTGGCGTGAACTTAGACAAAGAACTAGGATTCCTAAAGCAGAAGAGTGAGTTTATTAATTAATTTTCAAATCTTTTCAAGTTATTTATCATTTATTTGATTTATGACTAACATTCTTGATTGTTTTGTTTTGGATAGTTGTATTGATTTTGCTTATGCACTATATAAATATCATCCAGCTAATTATACACTTAATTCAGCTTATCAAATCGCGGTTTCTCAATTTAGAACCTTAAGATTTGAAAATGATATATCAAGTTCGTTTTCAAGACAAGAAGCAGAATTCTATGGCGCAGAATGGAGTTTAGATCTTTTAAAAAATCAATTAAAACATCAAGATCGATGGATTAAAGATCGAACTGGAATGGATAAAGTGAAATCTCCTCAAGATCCACATGGAATTCGATCGAGTCCAACTATTAGTCCTTCATCAAACTCGGATGGTGCTTCGATGGGTGGTGATCATATGATTCATCCTCCTGTACGGAAAGAGTCAACTTTTAAAGGTGGTGAAACTTATTTGAAGGAAGTGTTGAGGAAGTCAAGACGATTGAATGTTTTACAAGAATCGTAGATATCGATCTCTTAGGCTTAAAGAAATAGATTGATATACCTATCAACTTTGGCCACATCAACTTAACGACCTTTTGTATTTAGTACACTAGAATAAAAGTCAAACTCATGGAATGGGCGTTGGCATCTTTGATTGGAGATCACGAGCTTCGCCTCTCAGATCTAATTTCCTTGAGACGTGTCTCTATACAATAGCTTCTCCATACGGCACTTACAATCCAGACTTCATTGCAACTCATTTGATAGAAAAGTTCAAGGTACGGTATTCGATTAGACATGATGTCCTTTGGAATTCAAAGTTTCTACCTATCCAATATCAAGTGTCCTTGTTGACCATAAATGCAATATACAATTGCTCAGCATTTGATTTGTAATCTTGAAAGACTTGATATGTGCACTTTGTAGATCTTACTGAATTCATGTTGACTTGAAACTTGAAAAGGTTAAATTGATATCATTGTGATAAAGTTAAATTGATTGTCTCTATTCTCATTTCGCTTTATAATCCGAAATCTATCTTTTGCATTTTAAATACATATTTTTGTCCTTGTTCTCTGGAATCGATTGAAATCACTGAAAGTTAAAATAAGATTATGAAAAAGTTCCAGATGATTTTGTTTTAATTTGATTTCAAACATAAACACCAGCTGCATTAAATAAGAAAGTAACACCAAAACCAGTTAAGAGAGAAGCCATTAAAGCTAAAAAAACTTCAGCTAAAACTAAACCTTTTTTTGGTAAACTTAAGATCAAGAAAGGAAAGTAGTAGTGGATCAGTTTTTTTTTTCGAAATCATTAACCAAAATCGTAAACTTGGAATTGAAAGCAAAAAACTTACGTTGTGAATGTGAAACCTATACCGAAAGCTGTGAGTAAGAGACTGAAACCTATTGTACTGTGTAGTTGGGTTGATAGGTTTGGTATGAAAGGTGATGATGTATCATAAAGATCCTATATTTCAGCAAGAAAACAATCGAATTGTTAGTCTTTGATTTGATTTGAGAAAATTTATTGAATTTGTTGAAGCTTGATCACCTTGATTTGAGAGTAAGCTTCGGCCATTGATTGAGAATACTTCTTGAAGATGAAATGGTTTGAGGAATCGGATGTTTGGGTGGGTTCAGGTTGGTTGTTGACTTGGTTCAATGACGATGTGGAAGAAAGTTGATCGACCTGGCTAGGCTTAAGTTACTTAATGCCCCATAACGCTTTTAAAACTAAACCTCTTGGATGCTGAAATCAACTTAAGACCTAGATGACTCGACTGTTGGCCTCTTCGAATTTGGCTTAGAAGATGCTTTCCTGACCTTTTGTATTTCTCATTTCATTCACCAAGCTTAGAAGGCTTCACCTTATGATAATGCGAATGATATGAATTGCACACCTAATATAATACTCATAGATGAATAATATAAGAGTGAGAAAAGAAGTGATGACAAGATCCTAGAGCTCAATCCATTTAATTGATGTGTTTTCAGGTCTGATAGCAATTGAATATATACTTCATTTTCGAGGAGTCATTGAGCAATATGTGATGTAAATGAACAATCAGAAGTTGGAATTTGTGATCAGGGTGATCTGGGTGCTTAAGGATGATCAAAAGGAAACCTTATGCAGACAAGATGCTGAAACTTGAGCATCCAGACAGATGCTGGTCTACAAGATACAAGAATCCTCAAAAGAATCCCCTTTCTTCATAGATTTGAACAGGGTTATTTTAAATTTTCACCTACATACATCATACTTGGAACAAGTTGAAGGTCTTCTTTTCTCTCATCATGATCCCTTCAATTATCATTCCTTGATAGAATCAATCTGATTCAGAATAGAATTCAATAATGTCTGTAACACTTGATGAACCTCGAGCAAATCAAAGTGAACAGATACAAGGATCACGCTGTGGCTTTCATAGATTTGGGCTAGCTTAAGTGCTTCATATACCAAATTGGCTTCAATTCATTGATAAATGTCCATGTGTATGATCATCAATGAATGATGAGAGCCTTAGGGTTGAAGTTATAAGATTAAGATTCTTAAGAAAAAACGAAATACATCACAGCATTGTTAAAGATGACTGATTATTGAACTTTGACTATGATTACAATTTCAGATAAAAAGATTTATTTAAGGCCACAAGTCTCAATTGTAAAAAAAATCGAGGAATCTAACTAGAGTAAAACTGAATCTGTGAAGGAAAACAAGGACGAAATCACAAAAAAGAAGAAAAAAATGAAATCAAAAAACAACTTTCCTGAAATCTTGAAAGATCAACAGATTGATTTCTCATTTTTTAAGATGAACACGTTTTGAAAGTGTAGGTGATTCATGACGAACAAAACCACCATCAAGTCTTGGACTACCTACTATTGAACGTCGATCGGCACCAAAATCTGGATCTCCAACTCTTTTCATTTGTTCTTCAATAGGAGTAGGTGGTCCACTTCTTTCTTCACCAATGGTATTACTCCAACCAAAGACACCTTCAAGGAACCTAAACCTTAAACGATGAAAGACGGGTAGCTTAGGTAATAAGCCAAGGCATAGTGTAGATGCGAAATTCAAGGCGAATAGAGAGGGATAGAGATCCAATCTAGTGTAATGAGTACACAAGAGGAATCTAAAACATCAAATGGCCAAATTCATGGTAAGTACTATGGAGAGCAATATGATTTTTGAAAAGGAAAGATCTCAATCGGGATTGACGTACAAGGCAGCGGGCAAGATAGTAAGCCACTTTTTGGTTGGTGTATAATGGGCGCCAGTATCAATCTGTTCCCACATCGTCAATCGATCGTACACTCCACCAGAAGACTCAAAAGGCGTTCCAGTTACGTAATGGAACATGATATAAGTGACCTGTAGGTGAAGAGATCACAACAAGGGAGCGAGTTACATAAAGGTCAGTATTGTTCAAAACAATGTCAGATTGCTGTCCAATCGGATTCCCTAGGAGACAATGAACGACAGAAATCGTGCTTACAACGTCATAGGCGATATTAACAGTTGTCCAGCTCACGTCTTGAGTGATACCAGGGATGATGTCAACGAGTATCTTCCCGAAGAAGATTAAAACTATATGAATGACCCAGGCACCTAAAAAGTTCAAAGGTAAATCTAATCGATGACTAGCTTGATGGAATTGCAAACAAAAGTTCAAAGTTCAAAATACCCTTATATTCAACCCAATCTGCGTTCAAGTTAGGACCAACACCTTGGTCAAGTTGATCATCGTAGTTGTCTTGAACTTCATGCACACTCAATAAGCTACTCGATCTACCTCTCTTCGTTTTTTGTTCTTCATCAGGTTCAGAAAATGCCGAGGGAGACTGTAGAGGGCTCGAGGCTGGAAATGCAGGGAACTGGAAGCCAAAAGATGATTCAGTTTCGCCAGATGTGGTGAACGAGACACGATTCCTAAGAGTATTCTTTTGATGTTGAGAGCTGGGCGTAGGAGGAGGAGAAAGCGAGATGAGTGGAGAAGCTGTACGGCTGTCTGGCATCATGATGAATGAGTTGATGATGATGGATTTGAAGTTCAGATCAGGGGAAAGTTGAAGATTATCTGTGTCCACTTCATTGAGGTCGCCTGTGGGCTGTCAGTGTGACTGACATCTACATGTCACACACCCGGCTCCTCGGCACCCGTCTAGTACCGGAGCCTAACCTAACTAAGTCCCTCTCGGACGAACGAGTAGTCGAGAGAGGCTCTTATAGCTTATCCACAGATTTTGGCGTGTGAGCCTGTGGACCTTTGGCTGGGGCACTTTTCAATCTGATACACAGCATAATCCTGCTTACAAAAATCCTCCAGACCCAAGAAATGCACCCTTCTCTGAATTGCCCTACATACACCTGTGCCAGTCTCACCCTCCTAATCCAAATGGATACTGAGTTATTCAAGCCCAATTTTTTGGGAAATTGCATCCTCTGTAACTTGCTGCGGAGGCGTCAGAGAGTCTTCTACTCCTGTCATTTGAGAAACTCTCAAATTTTCCTTCGATCTCTTCAATTGATTTGAATGAATTTGGAAGGGAGAGGACATTGAATGAATAGCACTCGGTTTTGACTTTGAGATCTTTCATCAAGTTTTGCTTTTTACTATTTCTTTATGCACATTACATCATGAAAACTCAAAGCCAGTCCTCTAACCAGGTATCAAAAACAGATCATGGCGATGACAAACAGGGGGAACATGTTGCAACGACCCACGCTCCTACATTATTGCCCAGTCTACGCAACGCGACCGATGAGGAATTATATCAGCGTATCAGCGCTATCTTTCTGCAGACTTATGGGGTTCCTGCAAAGGATTTACAAGTTCGATCAGTTATTAAACTCATCAAAAAAAGAAACACTTTTCTTCTCGCCGGGACAGGCTTTGGAAAAACACGGATAGCAGAAGTGTACCTCAAGTGCTTCACATCATCATCAAATGGCATTGTTCTAATTCTCAACCCACTGGATGGCCTTGGTCACAATCAGGTAAATCATAGCATGATTATTCAATAGAGCTTCTGTAGTGGCTGACGTGTGGAGGTGATTAGGTTGCTGAGAAGAAACTTGTTGGACTGAGTGCAATCAATATCACAAAGAGGAACTTCAAGAAAAAGGTAGTAAAGAAGATACTTAACGGGGATTATCAATTTATTTACTTGGTATGATTTCTTCCCTTTTGAATGTTTTGATTTTTGCTGATTCTGATTTGCGCATAGAGCCCGGAAATTTTTTTAAATAGTCCACTGTTTGACAAACTTTACTTTAATGAATCCTTCCAAAAGAGACTAGTGTTGAAGGTAGTCGATGAAGCACATATGATCTATTGTTGGGGACTGGTTGCAAGTCGGAAAGCAAGAAGGTTGTCTTGTCACTCTAAGGGAGCTGATAGGGGAATCTTTCGCCCATCGTATGGAAACTTAGGTAGACGTTTCATGGCTTCTGATCACGTACCTGTTCTTCTCATGTCTGCCACATGCAGGCCTATAGCAATTGAAGCTATCCGGAAGAGTCTCAAGATGCCCGAACCAGCGCTTCACATACTGTATGGAGAATTGGCTCGTCCGGAGGTCCGCCTTGTCAGAATCACGATGAAACATTCCATGCGATCATGTGATGATCTGCTGGATTTCTATCCTCTCAAATCGGAAATCTCAGATAGCTCACTCCCCCCAACTTTGATCTACTCGACTTCTCAGAATGCAACCTGGACAACACTCAGTGTTTGTAATCGTGCTCGTGGTACACCCAAAGAACGCTTCAATGGTTACAGTACTTTTGCAGGCCGATATCATGCAGCGACAGGGGACAAAGACAAAGACGAACTTGCGGCTGACTTTTCTTCAGGAAAATCATCTTTGTTGTGCTGTACGATGGCTTTGGGGCTAGGACAGAACTGGACACGTGTTCGAAGAGTGATCCACATGGGGCGGGGTGATCCTTCATGCATAGAGCAGATGTTGGGGCGATGTGGAAGGGATGGTCGGCCTGGTCTGGGTGTCTTGTTGGTTGAGGAAAAAAGGCGTGGTGGAAAAAATGAAATTAAAGACTTTGATCTTAGTAAACCTCAGTCTGATGATGATAGAATGGATGCATTGGCAATCACACCTGTATGCCTCCGTGTGGCTCTGTGCATTGATAACAAGTCAGTTGATCCGTCTTGATCTTTTGCATACACTTTTTGTTAAGATTCACAAAAATTGTTTTTAAAGGAAGGGCTACATTCCTCTTATGATTGATGATCCAGCAGTTCTTGAAGAGCAAAACAGACAAGTCTCTGTAGGCATGCCGGCTTGTAGATGTTCCAATTGCGACCCAGCCTTGGCAGAGATGCTGATTAAAAATCAAAAGTACTCAACTTCAGAAAACTTTGATGATGTGTTAGTTATGAAGGATATGATTTTGTCTTCCCAAAAAAGTAGTGATCAACCCTCCGATTCAAATACCAATTCTTCAGCGCTCATTGATCCAGCGCTTTCTCATCCACAACTTGTTGATTTAACTAATTCAGACACCAGTGCCACAAAATTTGAATGTCCCGAAGAAGATTCTATTCGTACTGATACTGCTATGCTGGCGCTCTTCAACCTGATTGTGCGAAGTTTCAATCAAATGTTTAATGATCAATATGGCACCAATTCCGACCTTACTCCCAAACTTTTGTTAAAACACAAGAAGATCTGGTTGTTGACAAAGAATTATTCACAGCTTCTCAATGGTCTTCATATCCGATCAATTCTTGGAACCGAACCAATAGTTGGAACTTTTGAGATGATCTACCGATCCATTCATCTCTGGAAGCATAGTGATATATATCAGATTCACAAAACACGATTAGATTGCACAGTGGATCTGTGGCTCAAGGCAGTAAAAGACAAAGAAGAGAAAGCAAGGAAGCGAAAGGAAAGAGAAAAGGCTAAGCCCCAGAAGAAACATATCAAGATTAGTAGTAAACCACAGAAACAAAAGAAAGAAGCAAACATATCCGCCAAGAACAAAAAGAGAGATATTTCAACTTCAGGCCGAGACGAAAGATTGAACACCATTCCAACCCCGTCGACCTCTGTACCTGATTTGCTACGCCAAGCCAAAAAACCCAGAAAGTTGCCAAATACTCAAAAGATTGATGGTGTTCGGGCAGAGCTGAGCCAACCTCGCAAACCCAACTTTGATGTGAGTCAATTACAGCTCGTGATTTATCCCTCCTTCATCTGCACTGACATCAGAATAATTTGTCTGGCTGCCATCCTCCGAATCAAAATCACCAGCTTCCGCAACTCCCCACTTGAAGCGACTAGGTTCTTCATTGCGAGCATCCTGTTCCAAGATACCTTCCATCTTCTCGATTCCGTTGACCCACATGTCACACACGGGCTTTATAATTTTAGATGTGCTATCTTGCCCATGTTTGTATATACCTCCATATAGCGTGTCTGAAGTACGGAAGAACTCTTTCAAAGAAGACTGAGTAATTGGGTTATAGTTATTCTGAAATATCACTGTTGCTCCAGAGCGTATTTTCAACTTATGTACCAGTGTACGAAACTGGGTTTTGATGATAAAAAGTCTTCCGTCAGCTAGGTCTTGTTATCTGCAATATACATATTTGGTAACCTCAATACATACCAGAATAATGCTTGGACTGTATCTATCAGTTAACCTTTTCACATCTGTTCCAATGCCCTATATCATTTTGCCAAACAGTAAGTAAAATCAAACTTGGGATACCAATGGAAAGGATACTCACCGAATGATTGTAGAAGTATTTCAGCCAGTAGTTTTGCAGTTCTAGATAGAAATCTTTGGCAATAAAGTGGCCCGCACGACCACTCGCAGGTATAAGCAAGGAGTGTTTGATCAACTGAGCCAGCTCAGGTGGGAGTCCACTCTCCAATAGTAAGATTAAGCGGGGCAAGTGCAGAGAATAGTGGCTCAATCCCTTCATTCCTTGAGCCATGAGTGACCATCTTTTCCACATCAAAATGAGTCTTCCAATGTCTCCTTGATGCATTGAATCTTCCCCTTCAACAATGCTTGCAAAATCACGTAGCCGGAGCCGTAAATTATAAGCATGCCAATCCTCATCTTGCTGTGTTTTCTCAATACTTGTAGCCGTGAAAAACTCCTGATAACACTCTTCCACAATTGATTGAGCGGCTTCAGTATTGTACACATCAATCTCTTTTGATTGACGAGCCAATATCTGCTTCAAACAGAATGCCAAGGTGGCCATGTGAACCTTCCAAATGATGACCATTATTGAAGAAAAGTCTTTTTTCTTGATTGGCTGGTCACCGGTTCCTCCTAAAGAGTCCCAAAAGCGCCAAGCTCCAGAGTCCTCTGAGTTTTCGGAATCGCCCCAGTGGTGTAACAGAACTGCTTGTCCAATATTCCACAAAGCATGCGCGGCACCTGGGATTGTGAGAATGTGATCAAGCGATTCGTCTGGATTTCGACGTGGAAGCCTTTTACGTCTCAGGCCTTCGATATTGATGCAAGTACCTAGATCGCCCTCAACAACTTGAAGTTTTTTTGCAGAACGAGTGTTGTAAATACCCATCTGCTTCTGCATCAAGACAAATAGATTTCCTATTCCCTCGGCTGAGTTCTCTGGTGAATCCATCAACTTCAGCATCGTAATTGAAGGTTCACAAACCTCTATCTGTTCAATTGTAGGTGGCTTGACTTCTAACTTTGGATTTTTTTTATTTGTTTGCTGTGAGGAGGGAATGATTAATTCAATCCAAGCACGATTCATTTGAGAAACAATGGTCTTCTTCCAATGTTCCTTATCGGACCTTGTTGGTAAAAAGTCTGAAAGCTCAACCGTGGTATTAAGAGTTTTGTGCATGTATTTCAAAAAGGACTTGAAACTATAAGGGTTTTTTGCTGATTCGTCTTCTGGATCACTGTCCCATCTATCATCATTAGAATCTGTGGCATGAGTGGAACCTGACATGTCACTGAGCGATTTATCCTGAGGTTTCCTGTCGCAATTGATTGGCTCATCAGACGTGGAACTGTTGGTATCGCTATGATTGCTTGGTGACTCCTGCAAGGATTGCTGTTGAGGTTTCTCTACTATGTGACAGTACGCCCAGGAACCGTGGAACTGCCGAGTTTCCTTATCCAGGCGTTTGTGATGCACTCGAGTTTCAAGTCAATGTTATCGACACAAATAAATGGCCGTATATTGTACTGTTTTGAGAGACTTTTCGTGATTTGAATTTCGGCCTTTCTCGCCAGGCGGTCCACAGCATGCACTGCCGTAAATCGTGAAGATGAGAGTCCCACAGAGTATAAGTATTCATGCACTCGTGCCGAAACACCACAAGCCAGGAATGTGACCGAATTTTGTAATTGAAGACCATTGCAGCGGCGATTACATGCAAAAGCAATCATTGAACATACAGTCATTGGGAGCTCAGAGCAGATGCACATCAGCATGTGGCCAGCTCCAAGGTAGCGCATTAATTTTCAGGGCTTACCTGATTCAATCTGTGCTCTTCAATCTGATTGCCATTCTGAGCACTTTTGTACTGTAAGTTTTCCAAGCTATCCATCTCATCCAAATCTTCATCGTCTACTTCACTCGGTTTTTGATTGTTAAGATGTTGTGTGTGTTGATTTGCTTCAGAAGCCCTCCGCCGACGACCCAGATGGCAATGATTGAGCTTGCCCTTTATCAAGCTGTATAAGAACGGCATCCCATCCTTGATCTGCAACTCTCGGATCACTTCAGCATTGTCATTGAAGAATTCCGGTATTATGGATTTTGAGTTGTAATACGAGCCCTTTGGAGCATTACCTTTGGCTGGGTTCTCCTGGTTCACTATATCTGATGCCTACAAGACCGGTTCATCTCATGATTAGCTTCTTAAGAGCCGATAGGTAAGCAGTCAGCTTCAAGACAAATCTTACTTCGGACAACAACCAATCATGCCATATCTGTTTACCGTGTTCTGTATCACATACTACACTTTTGATTGTGTTGATCACCTTCATTGTTGAAGGTAAACCACGCTCGGCACCCCAGTACCTTCTTTGTTCAGGCATCTTGTGATTCGAAGAGGTGAGTAACTCAATGATGAATTCCTTTGGGTTTGAGCCGATTTCAAATATAAAGTCAGATACTCGATCGGCCTTGGTAAGTTTTTTCTTCTTCTCAGGAGAAGAGTTATGAGTTGGTGTAATCAAGGAAGGATCAACGTCCATAGTATCTGAGCTGAAGGGATGAGGAGATCAGAGATTGATGGATTACAATCAATAAAGCAACATGAATGGAAAGGATGCTTTTTTTTACGTAAACAGATAGTAATCAGACAAGCTATAACAGACATGATGGGCAATTGAATGGTGTTGGCTTTCTAGCGTATTGACTAGGCTTGGCAAAAGTCCCACCCTTGCACATGCTCGCGAAAAGCAATTGCAAGTGTGTTTGATTGAAACCTCTCAAAAGCAATTGGAAGCCAATTATTTTGACCGTTCAAACTCAACTTGTGCAAAAAGCAGAACAGGTTGATGAAAGATGACATTAAAACACCCCTCAAGTTCTAACGCTAGCATTGAGTCTACTCACCAAACCCAAATATCCACCCTGTTGAGCCAGTACGTTACAATTCTACTTGACTAAAAGCACATGAGGGTAATTAAAAATTCAAGGTATTTTGAATAATTTCCTAGGCGTACGGAAGTACTAAAGGAAAAAATCAAAATACACGGGTTGAATAAAAGCAAATGAATAGACTAGTCCAACATGTAAGCTATTTTGAATAATTTCCTAGGCGCACAGAAGTACTAAAGGAAAAAATCAAAGGAGCACGGGTTGAATACAAGCAAAATGCATAAGATAGTCCAACATGCAAGCTATTTTGAATAATTTCCTAGGCGCACAGAAGTACTAAAGGAAAGAATCAAAATAGCAAGAGTTGAACAAAAGCACGATGAATTGATAGTTCCACATGTAAGCTGTTTTGAAAAATTTCCTAGGCGTACAGAAGTACTAAAGGAAAAAAATCAAACAGCAATCGAGTTGGGAGGCGAAGTGGGATAATCAAAACTTGCCAATGTTGCCTGTTTATATATTTGATATATCATCAAATCCGCACGAAGTGAGCAACAATTAATAGTATGTTACAGGCTACTTGCCTCCAAAGGGCCTTTCATGAAACAACCTCACCCTGGCGACCATCAGGAGTGTCCCTTAACTGTCTCAAGGGCATAGCCTCTTTAGAAAGAACTGCTTACCAGACAGTATCCCTGATTCGTCACAAGGGCATGGGAGCAATTCATTTAGTATCGAATATCAAGCAAAGTGTCCCTTGCGACCATTAGGAGTGTTCCTTGAACGTTGCAAAGGCCCAGGACGGATCGCGTTTGGGGCGCAATCGTTATTGCTGGGTGTTTCAGGCGCCATGCAAATTTCCCGATTGGTAAAATAGCCACGGCCTTCAATCCATACCCAGCACGAATGCGACTGGCTTGTCTTTCTCAGATAGGTTCAGGGGTGTTTGAAACCTCTCCACAGCCAAGGATTCCTCATATGAAAGAGGTTTCTAACCTTGCCAAGCTCAACAGGGGAAGCCTCAACGTCTCATCATCTATAAATCGATTGCTCTGAATAGTTGCTCATGATCATTAAGCTCCGAAGAAGCCACCATATTTACGTGATTGACAGCTTCGAGATAAAAATTCCTCATTTTTGCCCAAACTGTCAGACTAGTCAAAAACTCGCAGCAGCTACACAGGAAGTTTACAGGAGACTCCATTTTTTCAAGTGATGTCTTGATGACCTTCCTGGGGGTTAGTGTTTATGTAAAAAAAACCAGTGTATGTAGGACAGTCCACAGAATCATTTATTTCTTGGGTCCAGGGGATTTTTGTAAGCGAGATAATGTGGTATGTTAGATTGAAACAAGCCCCAGCCAAACGTCCACAGGCTCACACGCCAAATTCGGTGGATAAGCTATAAGTCCCTCTCTCGACTACTCGTTCGTCCGAGAGGGACTTAGTTAGGTTAGTACCGGAGCCTGGATCCTGGCGCACGCGTAGGGGTATGACCCGGCCCCGCAATTTCAGGGCCGGCCCTGGGGCCGGGTCAAAACCGGCCTCGGCCACGAGGTGCCTCAGATGGCTAGCGGGCAGGCACGGGCAGGCCATGGGTCGGGCCTGCCTTTAGGCCCGGGTCGGGCCAGCTGTTTGTGAGGGGATTCGAGGACACAAATTGAGTTAATTGAGCAAAAAGAGCAAGACACAAATAAAAAAATCTTTGTAAATGAGGACACAAATG